TGGGGCGGGGACGTGCGGGAGGGGTTGAAGAGGCAGGCCAGCGCCCTCGCTGCGAGAGCGAACAGCCTGGGCGAAATCGACGCGCCGCCGCCGCCCCGAATAAGGTCATGACACATTTACGGTACTAGATGGATATAAACCAGTCATGCGATATGCGGTAACGCTTCGCTTGCGGCCTCCCGAGGCTCGCTTCTGCCAGGCTCTCGAAACGACCGCATGAAAGCGGGATCCAACGCGCGGAAAGATTCGGAGATCGAGATCGAAATGAAATCATTTAACACGTCTTCGGTTATTTCATTTAGAGATGTGTGAAGTGAATTTCAATCGAGGAAAAGGAAATATGTTTTCGAAGTGAGTACTACGTGGTAAAGAAAAAAAGTGTGGTGTATTCCTCTTGATATAAACTCACGAGTTCATACAAATGTTTAATTAAGTTTTTTGGATTAAATTTATTGAGGGATCATAAAATATATCTATTTGTACTAACAAAACTTGCAAGAATATGCACGCAAATTCCTTTTAGTGTAAGTTTCAAATATTTTTGGTTCTCCGTTTCGTTAGAAATAATCAAACTGTTTTTCAAAGAAACAATACATTTTTATATTGTTTGTTTTAAAATAAAATATGCAGAAAATAAAATAATGCTAACATATTGTCATTTCCTGTTAAAATTTCATATTACTTCAAACGTTTGCATTTTGGTAGAGGGTGGATTTTGTTTCGTAATGATTTTTTTGCAGGAGTGGTATAGATTAAAACTTGAAAGTCAAAATAATATTTTCAGAATTCATTGGTATTTTCATTGAGTAAACTTTCTTTTCAGTCTAATGCGAATAAATATAAGTTCTAAGGGAATATGAAACTGTGTTTTTGCAATAGTTTGCACTGAATTTATTTCTTATGATATGTAACTATTAATGGAAATTTTTTTCATTTATTCTAGTAAATGGACAATAAACAGTATTTTATGATAATTTATTCGTAATTGAGGTATATATAGTAAGAAGGAAGAATAGGGATTATGGAGATCGCGAAGAGGTGCGCGGAATATACTTTTCCCCACTTGTCACTTAGAGTTTTATTTTCTTTTAGCGTATCAGTTCCCCATTAGAGAAGATGTAACTTGGCATGCTAGTAACGTTTACGAACATTTCCTTCAGTTGACTCTTCTAAAAAAGGTGTAATATAGGATATTTGTGTGTAATATGTAGGTCTATGAGAAAATTCAAAATGCGGTATAGCATCTGAAATACAATTTGTTTTGTCATAGGAAACGAGGCGTGAAATCGAATAGTACACTTCTCTATTACTTTCGAAGTATTATAAATTTTATAGATTTTTCAATCTTTAAACGAGTTTTGGCCACAAACTTCTTCAACTTTTATACTTGAATTCGGTCAATCAATTTTTAATTTCCGCCACTCCGCCACGCGCCAAACTTCCTAGCAGCTACTTAAACATTTACAGCATCCAACGAGGAAACTTTTTTGTTTGAACGAACACGCATCATCGTACAAATCGCTTCCGCCCGATACGCATCCACGGGGCAAGGAGAAGAGGAATCATTGCACTTATCCCGGCAATTTTCCAATTAACAACGAAGGGCTACGTGTTGCAGGGTGCATTCAAAACTTGTTTTCTCAAATTCGCATCTCGGTTTTATTCTTCTCTTTCGTATTGCCTGTGTGTCCACTCATTTTTACACTCTTGATAAATTTAAATATTTTTTCTTGTAGTAGGTAAAGAAATTCCAAAGATCCACATCCATGGTAATTGACATATTTCTCTAAATATTTTTTATTTTTTAATTACAGAATTTTTCTGAAGAATTTTATATTAATTTGTTTAATTAAAAATTGTATTCGTACCTTTTTATTCATTACGTGAACCAATATTTCAATATTTAGGAAGATATAAAAATGTTTAAGATCTAATGAAACACACAAGAAAAACGTGATTCGTCTTAGGTCCGAAGTGAGAAGAAAATTTTAAAATGGCAAGGAGATATTGGTTATGCTACAATTATCGTAATATAAATGTACAAGGAACATTATTTTAAATTTGGTGTCATATTGGTAGCTATTATTTCACTGTATGGGCTGTAATACTCCTAGTTTAAGATTGATTATTTATTGATACCAGGTCGGCCAAGTACTTTGACAATTAATCCCGTAAACGCAGTGTATGTTGTATTCCGAGAAGTGGGGTGTCCCTCTCTCAACGGAACTTGTGATCCGGTACCGATATACAAGTTAGCTTGCGAAGTTTTCCCTTCAAGTACCTCCCCTCGGGAGCTATTTAGAAGGTGAAGGGAGGGGACAAGGATGAGGAAGCTCTCGATCCGTGATCCGTTTGTTAGGGTACTGCTCTGGCATCGGAGAAAAAAAGCAAAACAAGCGATCAGAGCAGCCAGTCGGTGTACTTCCCCTCGAGTGTGTGGCTGAATTCGACATCTGAATGATGTGCATCCAAACTGTGTCGGTCATGACCAGCCGCCATTTAGTAGTGAACCTGATAAGTCCCAATTTTTCGGTTTTAAATATTTAAAAATATTGTTATAGAACTAATGTTTTAAGTTTTCACAGATTTCAAAAAATGTTCATTCAGGAATTAAAGTAGACGTGCTTCAACAGCACATACTTTCTGGCATTATTTGTAAGTGCTCCGCAATATTATACTACTACACGAACCTGCAAAAAAGTTTCCAATCAGCCAACGTCGGTGCGGGATCTCGCTTTCCAGCGGGGAAGAACACCGCCATCTCTCGCGATAAAATTTGCACTACACATACAGAACTAATGAAATTAGCCATTGACGTGCCAGGATTGTTCTTTGTTTTAAAAATGATTTTAAACTGTAAACATTTCCTTATATTTCACTCAAAATAACGTGAAAGCTACTCATATGTTCAAATAATTATACTTGACCTTATTGCAAGATCTGTCTTAAAAGAACATATTTAATTAAGGAAGAAAATGTCTATCTTTAATATTGTAGTTGTAGGAAGACCCGGAAAAAATTAAACTTTTGCATCAGTTCAAACTCTGAGGGACTTGATTTTCATTTAAATCGATCGAGGAATATCAATTCTGGTGAAAATCGGTTGAACGGTTTAGGCACTACCGTTGAGCATAGACGGACAGACGGATGGGCAACGGACGGACAGACGGACGTTTTGCCGTGAATACATTTTCAGTTTCAAGGACCCACAAAACATGTATTCTGACTATACAACGTGCACAGGAAGTAATTTAGTATACCTGGATTTCTTTAGAACTGCCTCTGACGTAAATCAGCTGTTACGAAGTCATCCATTCGGAATGTTGAACGCCACCATAGTGGCGTCACCAGTCACTTGTAAGCTCCTCATTGGATGACACCGTAACAGCTGATGACCTGTCAGAGGCAGCTGTAAATACATCGCAGTGTATAGGAACAACATTTATCCTCTTTTTCGTAACTAGGACCCAGCAATAGAGTAATTCTTCAAAAAAATCGCCGTTTTCAGGCGCACGTTTTTAATGTTTTTAGGAAGTAAGGACGAGAAAATAAGAAGTATGTTTCATGTAATTAAATGAATTCATAAGTAGAATAGGTTCTGTCAATTCTGTCTTTATTATTCTGTAAGTTCCTCATAAATTCTCTTAACGTAACAGTGAATTTTGAAGTACTTGTACTTTCAGAATAAACCCCTCTTTAGGTTTCGCCAGCATCCGCTTAACAGCTAATAAATTGTAATTCCATGTCACGATGAAAGAGAAGCGAACTTAATTTTTAGGGTTCCATGGAAGCTTGTCTTCCGCAGTTTGACATTCAATTTCACAATACTTGTCGTTTACATTTTGAAAATTTATATGCACTTTTATGTATTTTAGAAAGAATTAGGTCGTTTTAGGCCACACATCTTTTATAATAAATTAAGTAATTTTGTATTGAAAAATATTTATATTGAACGAGAATGCCCATAATGTATTGAAGGAGAGGTACCGAACTTACTTATGACCTATTTAGTTCTTCAGGCGAAATGTTGCCTTGAGTATTAAAAAAATCGTGTAATATTGCAATCACGAACGCATCCCCGCCGCTTTGGCTTCTGCGCAGGTCGACCTACGCCACATCGACGAAGTGAAGAACTCGAACGTAGTGGAGATCGGCGTCGATCTAAGCGAGTTCTACACCTCGGTCGAGTGGGACATTCTGGAGGTGCCTGCCGTGCGCAACGAGAAGTACTACACGTGCTGTGACGAGCCCTACCTCGACATCACCTTCAACATCACGATGCGGCGCAAGACGCTCTTCTACACCGTGAATCTCATCATCCCCTGCATGGGCATCTCCTTCCTCACCGTGCTCGTGTTCTATCTGCCCTCTGACAGCGGGGAGAAGGTACGGCGGGGAGGAGAAGTGTGGGGAGCGGAGATGGGCGCAGCGGTGGGAGGGGACGGGGTGGGAATGTTTGGGGTGGCTGGGTGGGAGCAGGACGATCAGATGCCACCGATTATCGCTTCTCTCCCGGCGTCTTTTGATGCAAGAAGTCTCTAAGTGAGGAGAACGGAAAGGAATAATTAATGTTTTGTATTGTCGTGCTTGTGTATAGACTTCGGGGGAAAATTTCTCCAAATATTTGATGCATCCAGTGAAATAAAACTGAAAAAGAATCATCATATAAGGTCTAGAAAAGACAAATAATTTCTAAATATATTAGGATGTTATTTTTCTAAATTTTTCTTCTACTATGTAAAATGGGATTGTAGCGAATTTCTAAAGACCATTATTATTCTACACTAAATGATATTCTTATACCTTTACGATATATTTCACAACTTAATGACGCAATGTAAGAATAATATGAGGTGGATGACCATAAAAAATCATTAAAATGCAACGGATTGTTGATTTGTTTCTAATCAAAGAATTCTTTCAATGAATTGCACAATACAAACAATATCATTTCTTTGGTAGTCGTGCTATTTGGGAATACCATAACAGAATTCAAATGCAATTGTAGCATATCTCCATGTTCCAATTTTGCAACGCACTTCCCGTTATTTTTTCGCCCATGTCAAATAACCGAGTTGGACTGCGGAACGAAAAACAGAAAAAAGAAAAAAGAGATAATTTTGCAACGCAGAGTCGAGTAGAAGTAAAATTCAATTACAGTACTCTGGACGATCGATTCGCGGTTTTTGTCGCCAGAAAAATAACCACGAAATAAGACCATCAATCATCGTAATACAAACGCAAACGAGATGAAATTAATGATGATAAATTCGTTCATAAATGAGAGAGTTGCCTTTTTCATGATAAAGTAGAAATATGTCGACGACTGTATGAATTTTAATTTACAATTCTCACTGCTTTGTTACCCTCTGGAGGGCTGCATTAACGGCCGAGGAAGATAAACAGGAGCAGCAGAGCGGAACAAAGAGAGACGAGATAATAAAACGGACGCAGCGGAAACGCGAGGGTCGCGCCCAGCGCGTGGGGGAGCGGAGCGGAGGAGTTTGGCGGGGCGGGCGGGCGGGCTGGAGAGCGGGGGCGGGGCGGGGCGCGGCGGCGGCCCTGACGCGCTCGGCAACCGCGGCAGGTCGCCTGGTCCATCTCGATCCTGCTGTCGCTCACCGTGTTCTTCCATTGCTGCTGGCCGAGATCATCCCGCCCAACGTCGCTGGTGGTGCCGCTGCCTCGCAAGTTCGTGCTCTTCACATGATCCTGGACCACGTTTTCAGGGTAGCGAGCCGCGCGCGCGCGTTCCACCGCGCTGCGCCGCGCCGCGGCCCGCCACGTGCGCCCGCGCCACGCCCACCGCCGGCGCCGCGCCCGCCCGCGAAGCCCTCGCGCGAGACGGGCGGCCGGCCGGGCGACCCGCGGGCGGCGGCGCGGCGCGGCGCGGGTGCGGTGGCGGCGGCGGGCGGTGGCGCACAGCCCCGCCCGCCAAGCGCCCCCGCCCGCCCGCTCGCCCCCCGCCCCCGCCCGACGCTCCGCGCCCCCTAAGACATGCCGCCTAAACGCCTGCCTAATCTCTCTGCAGCGCCGGAGGGCCGCAGCCCCGCGGAGCGGCCGGCGCCGGCGCCGCCGCCCCGCGCCGCCCCCGGTGCCCCCCAAGTTTGAAGTGTCGCTAACGGCGGCTCGCCCGCGCCTAAAGCTTAAGACGCCTCGCTAACAACATCCGCCTTTGCTCGCCTCGCCTCGCGCAAGCCCCTTAAACACTCGCAGCTAACTCTGAAGCCCCATCTTAAATTCATTCTGCCCGCCCTAAAACGAAGGCACTAAACCGCTTAAAAGACGCTGTCGCTGTAACGGGCGGGCGGCCCCACCCGCCGCCGCCCCGCGCCGCGCCCAGCCCCGCCCCCCTCGCGCCGGCTCACGCTCCCGCGCTCGCCCTCTGCCTCCGCAAGCATCTGCGTGACGGTGTGCGTGCTCAAACGTGCACTTCGGTCGCCGCAGACGCACACGATGCGCCGTGGGTGCGGCGCGTTTCATTCCACATCTTGACCGCGCCTGCGCGTCATGCGCCGGCCGCAGTACCAGACGGAAGCGTCGCGGCGGTCGGCCCGCCGTCATGGTGCGCACGTGCAACGGGCTGGAGATGCGCGACCCGCGCTTGCTGGCGCCGCCGGCGGGCGCCGGCGCCGGCTACTCGTCGGCCTCCGGAGCTGGAGTCGACGCGCACCTCGAGGCTGTTTCCCGCGGCTGGACTCGCGCGGACGAGCTGCGCCGAGCTGGACGCGGCGGGCTGCCGCATCCACGGGGCGCGCCGCCGCCCCCGCCGCCGCCCGGCGCCGCCGCCGCCGCCGCGCCGGCGCGCCGCGGGGCGTTGGACGAGCCGCCGCTGCCGCCCCCGCCCGCGCTCAACGGCCTGGGGCGAAACGGATCTGCGGCGGGCGGCGTGCGGCGGGCGCTTTGGCCGCCGCCCGCCCCGCCGCTGGGAGTGCCGCCGCGCGCGCACTGGCACCCACTGCCCCGAGCTGCACAAGCGATGTGACGGCGTTCAAGTTCATCGCGGACCACACCAAGCGCGAGGGAGGACTCCACGCGGGTACGCCGCCCCTTGCTTGCCCTCGCCGCGGCTTCTCCCACGGCCCCCTTCCCCCTCCTCTCTTCTAGCTATTTGAGTCTCTAGTCATAGAAATTAAATTCATTGCGTCTTATAAATTATTTTCCAATTTTTGTATACCACGTATTAGTTACTTCATTTCTCTTAACTTATTTTTTCTGAGTTCATTGTAAATCGTAAAAACAATTACAATATTTCCTTTTTTTCTTATCTTTAAAAGTACCATTTTATTAATTTTAAAATAATCTGTAGCGCCAGTTCACTTTCTATTATAATCAATAATAATAATAATAATTATTATTATTATTAATATTATTATTATAGTTACTGTTTATTTCGTTGCATTTTTTCACGTTACTCCTTAACCATACTATTCTTAGTTGTTTTTATTTTTATACTTTGTATTTTTTCCGCTTATTTCATTTACTTAAATGATATTGTATTTCTTTCTGTAGATTTGATATTGCTTTGCAGAACTTATGCAAAACATAAGTGATGTGCCCGGATTGTGCGTTGAATAAAATTTTCAAAGAAAATGAATCACCGATAAAAATGAAGACACACGTGAATGTGTGATGACTGTTGTGATTAAGAATGATATCCGAAATTAATTTCTTTATACGTTTAGGAGTACTTTTAAAATACAAAGTCGGTGTCTATAAAAGTAAAATTATACCGGGGAGATGCAAACATTTCAAGAGCTACTGTTCCGAAACTGATTCATTACCGTCGGTCCCATAATATGTTCGGTTTGTGTTTCACATTGAGTACAAAACGAACAAGTTTTGAATCAAGTCCCCAATCATAAGAGTCATTCATCATAAGTATGAGTATATTAATATTTCCTTGCTTTTAAAAAATCATACCGCATCAATGACAAGGATTAGAGTATATACAGTGAAATTCGTTGTGTATGTCCTAATCATAGACACATGTTTCTCAGTCCGCATTTATATAAATCATTTTTCAATAATATTATCAACTATTGCATTAACCATTGCAAATATTTGCTAATTTCACTAACTATGAAGAAGAGTATGGAAGTATTTGTTGCCTTGATTTACAAATTAGAGATTTTTCTAAAAAAATACTTACTCAAAGGAGAAAACATATTTTCACACAATACAGACGCCTATAACTGTAACACTCGATACTGTCGTGATATTTATCTGGTGTCATTATCAACAGAGTATTCACTTACAATACTTGTAAATTATTGTACATCATATTGCCAGATAGCATTAATCGATACGCAGGTGTTACTGTCAAGTGAAATATTTTCTGCTGCATAATTGTTTCTACACATTTAGAGACTAAACTAAACATCAAAAAAGTAAAATAATAATTAATTAATTAATTAATTTAATAACATTAATGGGTGATATCATTTACCATTTTAACAGTGATATTTTTTGCCTTAGTTACCATTTGTATGGTACAATTTTAAGAGACTAATTGTTTACATAATTGGGTAATAAAATACATTAGTCACTACAAGAAAAAGAAAACTGAGAAACCACTAGGAAACTAGAAATATAAGTAACTTTTTTATATGTACGTTTCCCAAAGCTAGGGGGACAGGTGTCAAGGTTACACTTCTCCCCATAGTACGTAAACTCTTTTAACTGTATTTTGACGTTTAGTAAAAAGTGAAATTATTCGCAGAAAACACACTTGCGACTTTTACACCAGCACTGATAAATTAACACGTAGAGTTTGTATATGCAAAATCCTTCACCACTTTTTATATGGAAAACAGGATTTTGCATACTAATGCGTTAAATTATTTACATTTTAAATAATTCAAACACCGAGAGAAAATGTGTTCATGAATAAATCAAAAGTTATAGCGAATGACCTGTTATACTTAATCGCGACCTCTATTCACATTTATATTCATATACACTCAAAATGCATACACGTATTTCAAGGGAATTCTAATACATGAAATATGAAAGAATTTGATGCACTTTTAATGTTGTTTACATACTTGGGTAACAAAATCTATTAGCCACTACAAGCAAAAACTGAGAAACTACTTGGAAACTAGAAAAATAACAAATTTTTCATATGTACGTTTCCTTATGTTCGTTTTTCAGTAATTTACTCCAATATTTGTGAAATTATTCACTTGCAAGATATTTTTTTTGATATTTCAAGTATTTTTAAACATCAGAAATGATTTAAATGCTGATTTAATATTTTGAAAAATATGTTAAAAATCAATTTTTGAATTGCTTAATATCAAGTCTAGAGCGTGAAACATTTTCTCCATGACGAACTCTTTAAAACAAAACAAAACAAAAAAGCAAACAAACAAAACTAACAAAAAAACCGCAAAACATGTGTTGTTGAAACATTGTAAATATAAGTATGTGTAATTATCATTATCGTATAGAATTATTATTTGTTGTTAATACTGCAGGTTTTATATTCATTTGTAAACATTTTGATAAATGGTGCGAAACAAAAGAGACTTTCATATTTTTTGAGTGAAAAAAGTTTAATGAGCCTTTTTGTTGGTATAAGTTTCTCATTACTGTTACATTATAAGGTTCTTGAAAAAATGCGTTTGTATTTCTTTGCCACTTGGATGACAATTTTTTAATGACCTTATCACAATACAATTGGGAATCAACTCGAATTGGACAAACTTGTGAAACGTGACAGAATTGATTATCATCTCGAATTGGATAAACTTGACAATACTTCTAAGAAGTTAAGGAAGATACAAATTTTATTATTAAAAAATTGACATTTAATTTAAAGGAGGATATTGAGTTAAAAATAATTGGAGTCCATAATTTCAATTTACAGTTATTTAAAATATAATTTGTAAAATCATTTAAATAAAATGACACTCAATGCAAAAGGATTAACACATTACAATGAATAATTTTATAGATTCAACTAAACAGTTTGGGTAACTATTAGGAATGTTTATGGAGTTAAACAACAATACCTTGATAAGACGTATTCAATTGACAGCTGCAAATGATACCATATATTTCATATACTACATTACATAATATCATACTACTTTACAAAATGTTAAACAGCATGATATTTTACTAATTTTTTATCAACATTTTGACGCGAAAACATTTTAATTGCATCAACGTGACAAAATTTTCATCAAGTGAATGCATTAAAGAAAACGCCAATACTAATGATAATTATCAATGGCGCACCAAAAGTGGGTGGAGTGGACGTCAGGGTCTTAGCCCCCACAAAAATCACTGATACATATTTACAAATACAGTGTTTGCTACTTCTCTAAAATAAAAAAAATCATTCAATATATTAATTGAACACATTATAAATAACTATACATAATCAAATAAAAATCAATTTTATATCGAGTATTGATTAAAAAAGTCTTTAAAAGAACACACTAAGTTGACTGGCCCCTACAGTAATAGCATTGAATAATCTTGGGTACGATACTGACAATTACAAATAAACATAACTAAGATGTAAAAATAATAATTTTGAAAAACTTACAAGCGTGAGCTTTCTTAATCATTGGGAAGTAATGGTTATTAAAAGTCTCGAAAAATAAACTAAGAAGTAAAGACACAAAATAAAAACAAATAAGGAGAAGGAAACTGTTAAGATCATAAGCAGCATACGCAAGGCATCTGTGTGCGTGTGCGTAGGTGAAGGAGGACTGGAAGTACGTGGCGATGGTGCTGGACCGGCTGTGGCCTCCACCACGCGAAGCCGCCACGTCGCGGCGCCCTCTAGCCGCCCCCGCGCGCCCGCCGCCGCCGCCCGCGCCCCTCGTCTCCGCCCGCCGCCGCCGCCGCCCCGCGCCGCCCGCGGCGCTGCGGGGCCCCGCCCCCGCCGCCCCCGCGCCCCTCTGCGTAAACCGGAAACATAAATATTTATCTTTACTACGTTTATTCTGACCACGTCACGGATAAAAGGATACAATAAACGACAGAGAAGTTATAAGATTCTTTATACACTCTATCCTTGTAACTAATCGCACTAAATAAACTGTTTTGTAAACCACTGTTGCTAAACGACTGAGTTTTGTAGAGCGTTGCTTGCGCCCCGCTTTCAAAAATAACCCAAAACAGCCTGCCCCGGACCCTTTCCCGTTCCGTATCTGTTATCAGTAGAAAGCCAGCACCCCGTAGTTTAGAGTTGCACTCCCCCTCGCCGCCCGCTCGCCGCCCCGCCCCCTCCCCACGTCCTGCGGGGCCCGCGCGATGCGACGCACGCTGCGAGCGCCACGCGTTCGTCGCCCGACCGCGCACGCCGCCCCCGCCGCCGCCGACCGCAGGCGCGCGAGCGCGGGCGGCGGCGCTACCGCGCGTTCACCGTCCGGCCGCCGGGCAGATGGCGCCGGTGGCGTGGCGCGCGCGGCTGGCAGCGACTGGCGCGGCGCGGCGCGGCGGCGGAGCGTCGCGGGCGTCACGCGCGATCGATTGGCCGGGCACCTGCGGCGGGCGGCGGCGGCGGCGGAGCGGCGCGAGCGCTGCGGGCGCAGTGGCGACAGCGCCGGGCCGAGCCGCGAGCGAGCGTGCCGGTTGCTTCGCCCGCCTCGTCGCCGCAGCACCGCGTGGCGCCGTCGAGCCGCAGAGGCGCTGCGCGCCTGGCTGCTGTCGCTGCTCGTGGTGCCGGCGGGTGGCGGCAACCCCGACGCCAAGCGCTCTACGACGACCTGCTTCTCCAACTACAACAAGCTAGCGTGCGGCCGTCAGTCAACACCTCGGAGTGCTGCGCGTCTGCATTAAGCTCAAAGCTGTCGCAGCTCATCGACGTGGTGAGTGGGCGCGACCGGCGGCACCGGCCGTTGCCGCGACGCAGCCGCCGCCGCGCGCGCCGGGGCACTGCCTCGATCGATGCGGCCGCGCTGCAGTGCCGGTGCCCGCTCCGCACGTTGAGCCGCCCGCCCTGGCCGCCGCGTCGTGCCGGCCACGTGCCACCCGGCGTTCGGCCCCGGTCGCCGCCGAGCCCCGCCGCGGTGCCGGCGGTCGTGGCCCGCGGGCCGGACCCGTCCTCCAGGCCGCGGTGCGGGCGCGAAGGCCTCCGGCGGCCTCCGCGGTCTCCGCGGCCTCCGGCGGGCCTCACCTGTGCCTCCGCCGCCGCCGCCAGGTGTTTACCGGGCGCGACGCTGCCGCGCGCGCGCCCGCCCCGCCGCCGCGCGGTCCCGCGCCGGCCCGCTCCCTCCGCGGGCCGCTTTCGAGTTGTCCGGCCTCGCGCCGCGATGCATCAGTGGCAGCGGCCTCCCGCCCCCGCCCCCGGCCCCAACCTCCGCCCCGCCCGCGGAATAATACACAGCGGGCAGGCGCGGCCAGCATCGACGCGTCCCGGCCGCCGCCCCGCGCGCCGCCCCGCCCCGCCTCGCCCCCACCCCGCGCCGCCGCCGAAGTGGCGCGTCCCGTCCCCTGCGTCCGCGGATCGCGTCCCGCCGTCCCCGCCCGCGCCCCCCGCTCCGCC